CAATTGATGTGTGTATGGATTGGGATAACAGTTGTATGAGCCCCTAATAAAATGTTAAAAAAAACAAACAAAAAAACACCAGCCTGTGTGACCACGAGGTGTCCAAAGGATCAGGTATCAGGCATCAAAGACCCAAAACAAAAAATTCATACCAATGTGAATGAGAGGGAGTGGAGAGTGGAGACCCAAAGCCCATCTGTAGACAATCGGACATCCCCTTACAGAAGGGTCACAAGGAAGAGAAGAAGCCAGTCAGGGTGCAGTGTAGCACTGATGAAACATACAACTTTCCTCTAGTTCTTTAATGCTTCCTTCCCCCCACTATCATGACCCCAATCCTACCTTACAAATCTGGCTGGACCAGAGCATGTACACGGGTACAGAGAAGAGCTGGACACACAAACCTGATGGCAGTGGGTTTGCGTGGGTTTTGGTTTCCTCTGTGTCCTTCTCCCAGAAATCCGCTTGGCTTGTGCTTTCCCCTCCGACAGGACTTGACTCAAATATTGCCTCCTCCCAGAAGCCTCCCTGACTACCCTGTATAGAGCAGCAGCATTCTTTAGGATTCCCACCGAGAGAGGTGCTTATTTGTTGAGTGTGTGTGTATGTGTGTGTGCCCTCACTAAAATATGACGCTCACAGGGGCAAGGACTGCTCCCCAGGGTATCCCCAAGGCCTGGTGCACAGTAGCCACTCAAGAATAACGAATGGAGAGAGGACCTGCTGGGGCAGACAGAGACATGATGCACCAGGAGATGGGCACTTGAGAGCAGCCTGAGGAATAAGGGGTTTGTTGAGCTGCAAGTTTGGGCCACAGGAATGCCAGCCCCCTCCCTCCTTCTGGGGATCACAGTGGGTGAAGGCTGAGAGGGCTCTGGGGAGAGGAAATGAATGTTGGAGAGGACCAGGCAGGAGAAGAGGTGCCCCCCTTAATACTGAACCTCTTGTGTCTAGGCCCCCTGGGTGGTGGAGGGCCACCGCCCCCCTCAGGGCTGGCCCTCCCATGGCAAAGTGGAGTTCCAGAATTACTCTGTGCGCTACCGGCCAGGCCTGGACCTGGTGCTGAAGGACTTGAGTCTGTGCGTGCAGGGTGGTGAGAAGGTACGAAAGTTGGGGGTGCCATAGCCTGAGTCCTTGAGGGAGCAGACTTCTGCGCAACTTCATCCTGGTGATGGCCCCCCACTCCCGCCCGCTCCAGGTGGGCATCGTGGGGCGCACGGGGGCCGGCAAGTCCTCCATGACGCTCTGCCTGTTCCGCATCCTGGAGGCCGCAGGGGGCCAGATCCGCATCGACGGCCTCAACGTGGCCGACATGGGGCTGCATGACCTGCGCTCTCAGCTCACCATCATCCCTCAGGTCAGCCCGCCCACCCCGTTCTGTGGCTGCGGGTGGACAGCAGGGAACTCAGCCACGCAGGGTCGGATGTATGGGGAGTGGGCGTCATCCGGGACGGTGGGGGGGGGGGGTGATCGGAGGAACCCACCCCTTTTAGCACAGCTCTGAGCTCTGGTTCATGGTTTTCAGGTTCCACTGGGCTTTTTTCTCTTCTGCCGACTGGGCACTTTGGAGTCAGATTAGTGGCTCTGGTTCCAGCATTAGCTGAGGACTGTGTGGTTTGCAAAGCCGAAGTTTATCGCTTCCCCACAGGCAGTTTTTCTATCTGCTTGGCCACTGCCTCTGCCCCGCAGGACTTGGGATAGAGTGGGAATGGGTGACCTCACTCGCTCTCTTTGGGCTCCTTCCGGGGCCTTGCTGTGTCCCCAGGACCCCATCCTGTTCTCAGGAACGCTGCGTATGAACCTAGACCCGTTCGGTCACTACTCAGACGAAGACGTCTGGCGGGCCCTGGAGCTATCCCACCTGCGCGCATTTGTGAGCGCCCAGCCGGCCGGCCTTGACTTCCAGTGCTCCGAGGGCGGGGAGAACCTCAGGTAACAGCAACTGATGGGGTGCGAGAGCTGGGACTGGGGCGGGGTGTGTGTGTGTTATTTAGTATCAGGCATACCCTATGGACATCCCTGGCTCCTGTTGAAAACTCCAGGGGTGGTCCATGAGCCGAGTCACAATGAGGAAACTGAGGCCCAGAGAGGATAAAGGGGTTTGGTCCAAGTCACACAGCCGGGAGAAGGCATGCCTGGGATACGAACCAGGCTTGGCAGATGCCAAAGCCCTGTTCAGCTCTGTGCCTGTGCTTAGCCTGGGCGGGATGGGGTGGGGGTGGGGGGCTCTGGGCTGGACCTGTGGGGCAGGTAAGAGTGATTTCTTTTACCCAGGTGGTTACAGTCCAGCCTAGAGTTGAGGATGAACAGACTCCCCAGCCTGGACACGGAGGGTGTCACATCCCCAGCCTTGGGGCAGTGCATGAAGGAGGGAGGGGCCAGAGGGGCCTGTCGCTGAGTTTCAAGACGGAGGATGCTCATACCTATGCTCGTTCCGGGGTCTGCAGCAGGTTGCTCAGTTGGCCTCTCTGTCCCTTTCTAACCCTCACTCCACAGGGAGGCTAAGACCAGCCCACGCTCCTTTAACACCATGTTCTCCAAAATCAATATCCTGGGGGCCACCTACGTGTGTGGTTAACATTTTTCTAGTAGCCACAATCAATTTTTAAAAAGTAAACAGCCACCAAGGAAATTGTATGTGAAAATAATCGCGCATGTTTAAATACAATTTTCATTTTACATATAAGTCTTATTTTACGTAGCCCAGTCCAGCCTAACTAGGCCCATTTCAAGGGCCCTGGCGGCACAGTGGTTAAGCGCTCAGCTGCTAACCACACGGTCGAGTTCAAACCCACCAGCCGCTCCAGGAGAGCCAGCAGCGTCAGCCAGCTTCCGTGAAGCCCGACAGTGTGGCCAGCCCTGTGGAGCAGTTGGCTCATCAGGTCCCTAGGAATTGGACTTGCCGGGTCGCACCCAGCTTATGTTCCTTCTGACACACCGTCAGGACAAGCGTCCTTAGAGATGCTGCGGCTTCCTTGTTTGTGCTACGTTTGGACCCAGTGTGCGTCTTGCTCCGGTGGCAAGTCTCCACCGGGGCTGCCTGGCCATGTTTCAGGCGCTCAGTAGGCCCGGCGCCCCGTGACTGTCGTGGACGGAGCGGTCGGGTGACATTGTGAGGCCATGGGAAGCACGTAGCCTGGGCCTGGGTCTGCTGTTCTTTTTGTTTGCTTGTTATTGTTTGAAATGAACTTGTTTGTCACTGAAGACTCCAGGCCCATTTCAGTTCGACTTTTCCTCCTTCGCTTTTTTAAAGCCACTCTGACCACTGCTTCGGTTTGAGGGCGGAGGACTCTGGGGGGGCATGTTGGGTACTCTTGCTTACTGTCTGTGCCCCTGGAACATGTCCTGGGGATGACTCCAGGAACAGTTGGGGACAGAGGAGGGGGATGTGGGAACAGGGTGCGTTTTTTTCTAAGTACCAAACGTAAATAGCAAACCAGCCTGTGCAGGCTCAACCCTTCCACCTTCCCAGCTCAGCGCTTCCTCCAGCCCTGGGGGGTCCCAATGAGGCTCCAAAATTGCAGGTCCCTGGTCCACAGTGGATCAGTCAGCAGAAAAGCAGGGTAGGGCCATGAAGGGGGGGGGCGTCACAGAGGGGGAGCTTTTACTCTAAATTTCTCCTTCCTGCACCTCAGCCACCTCCTTCACTGAAGCCCCACCTCCCTAGGCCGAATGTGGTAGCTGGCTTTTGTTCCACCACCACTCTGAAGGGAGCCGGGCAGCTAAGTAGTGGGAACCCCAGACCTTACGCCCCAGAGCTGATTTCCAGGTCAGTCTCCTGTCCCGCTGGCTATGAGCCCCTCTTGGAGAGTACTACCACACACACACACACACTCACACACAGTACTACCACACACACACACACACACACCAGCATGTGAGACAGAAACCGCCTGCCTCCTCCTTCCCTGAGCTGGTAGCCACTTCAAGTATAACTGGTACCCCGTGCCAGGCCCACCATAAATCAGCCCTGAATTTGATGTGGCGGCTCCTTCTGTTGCCAAAAGCTTCATTAGTTGCGGGAATGGGCCTCAGCGCAAACCTGGCCTTGGCTCCTGTGGTGGTGACTCACCCCTTTGGAAAGGGCTGAGGTATTTGTCCTTGGGTGTGGGGTGCCCCAGTGCTGCCTGCGGTGGGGCGCGGCACAGCCTTCCTTTGTCCGCAGGCTCTGGCTGCCAAGTCTTCAAGGCCAGAAGTTGAGCGTCTGCACCCTGGCCCACCTCCCCTCCCCAGTGACAGGCACGGGACAGACGGATGCCCGAGGTTCTCCTCCGTGTTCCGTGGGGGCGGGGAACTGCATTCCACATTAGGCACCACGAGCTAGCCCGGTGCCCGTGGAGCCGTTTCACCATGTCCATATCTTCTCTACTCCTGTGTGACTGAACAGAATTGCCCCCAGGGTTTCCTTGCCTGGAATCTTTATGGAAGCCAACCACCAGTTCTTTCTTCTGTGGAGCCTGTTGGGTGGCTTTGAACTTGCAACCTTTTGGTTAGCAGCCAAGCACTTTTACCATTTGTACCACATGGCTCCTCGAGCGTGTTCTTAACGGCTCTGTCATCAAGTTGATTTTGGCTCTTAGTGACCCTATAGAAACCAACTGCTCCGTATGGTTTCCAGGGCGACAACTCCCCGAGGGAGCAGACAGCCTCACCTCTCTCTTTGCAGCTCACAGTCCAATGCTTAAGTGTGTTCTTGCGAAGGTGTACGTGACTGACAGGACAAAACAGAGAGACATGTTTCTAGCTCAGTGGTTCTCAACCTTCCTCACGCCGTGACCCTTTCATACAGTTCCTCACGTTGTGGTGACCCCCAACCATCACATTATTTTCATTGCTACTTCATCACTGTAATTTTGCAACTGTTATGAATCGTCATGTAAATATCTGATATGCAGGATGTATTTTTATTGTTACAAATTGAACACCATTAGAGCATAGTGATTCATCACAAAAACGATATGTAATTATATATTACTATATTTATTTCTAACTACAAGTCAATGAAATTTTATCTTGAAGCATGGTGTAGCATGGGTAGCAGTCTTCACGCTGGGTACTCGTATGTGGGCATATCTGCATGTGGGCGGACCCGCCTGGAGATGGATAGAGGAGTGGTGTCTGGGTTCCTAAGACCAGTGGGAATATGTGTTTTCCAATGGTCTTAGGTGACCATTCAACCGAAGGGTCATTCAACCCCCAAAGGGGTCTCGACCCACAGGTTGAGAGCCGCTGTTCTAGAAGAAGAGCAAGCATGGGGAGAAAGCAAAGAAAGTAGAATACAACCTGGAGGTGCCCAAAGGGACTGGGTATTTCCGTGCCATCCTACCCCCAACGCCCCTGGGACAGCAGAGATGGAGAGGTGACAGAGAGGCAGACGCAGGCTGAGGCAGTAGGGAAGGAACAGAGACTGGCGGGCAGGAAGGCCTGGAGGCAGACTGAGGACTCCCAGCTGCAAGTGCTTGCCTTCCCCATTTCCAGTGTCGGCCAGCGGCAGCTCGTGTGCCTGGCCCGAGCCCTGCTCCGGAAGAGCCGCATCCTGGTGTTAGATGAGGCCACAGCTGCCATCGACCTGGAGACTGATGACCTCATCCAGGCCACCATCCGCACCCAGTTTGAGACCTGCACAGTGCTGACCATCGCACACCGGCTCAACACCATCATGGACTACACCAGGTGGGGCTCGGGGAAGGAGCTGGACCGATTAGGGTTCTCTGGGCCGAGGAGAGTGCATGGGGTTGTTTAGCGCATGGAGGACAGACTGGTGTCTCCCAAGAACTAGATTAGGAGCCAGAAAGAGTGGAATTACCTGGATATGGTGGGAGGAGATGGGGGTAGGCACAGGAGACCCTTTGGGATTACTAATGTGTGGGGAGGGGTTCATTGGGGTTACCCCAGTCCTTGTGAGTCATGCACAGGCCACGCCTATCCTGCCTCCTATTCATGCTGGGTGTGCCCACACTGGCGAGCACCGAATTAGCACGCATGCACTGATGCACCCATCCACCCAGTGCTCCCAGCACCAGCAGTTAATTCATTGGTGCCACAGGGTGCTGTCCCAATGACTGCTAGCTGCTAGGTCGACGGTTCAAGCCCACCGGCCCCTCCACAGGATAAAGTTGAGACAATCTTTACCCGTAAAGATTTCCAGCCTTGAAAACCCTCCAGAGGGTTGCTCTGAATTGGCATCAACTTGATATAACAGCAGGGGGGCGGGGCTGTCAGGGGCCAACATGTTGGTCCGCACTCACGGGGACCCTGTGCACGACATGGTCATGTGTCATCCTCACCATTGCCGTGCTTGAGCCCAGTGCGGTAGCCACCACGTCAGTCCATCTCCTCTTTCTCCCTGGCCCCCAACCCAACATGCTGTCCTTCTCCTTGGGGTGGGCCTTCCTGATAACATGGCCGAAGTACACGAGGTGAAGTCTCGCCATCGTTGCTTCCAAGGAGCACTCTGACTATTCTTTCCAAGACAGATTTTGTTTGTTCTTTGGTCCCTCACCCTCCTGCTCTCTGCCATCGTGTTGATTCCGACTCGCAGCAGGCCCTAAACAACTGAATAGAGCGGCCCCTTCTCAGTTTCTGAAGCCGTACGTCTGTAAGGGAGCAGAAAGCCTCGTCTTTTTCCTTGAAAGAGACCGATGGGTTCGAACCACTGATTTTGCAGTTAGCAGTCCAATGCTTAACCCACTATGCCATGAGGGGTTCTTAGTCCTTCTAGTAGTCCACGGCCTAGTCAACGTTCTTTACCAGCATCTTCATTCAAATCAGCTCCTCTCCGATCTTCTTTAGCCATTGCCCAGCTTTCCCAGGCACGTGAGACGGTGAAAACCTCTTGGCTCGGCCCAGGACCACCTTCGTCCTCCGCGTGGCGCCTTTGCTCTTTAACGTTGTAAACCGCTCCTGTGTGGTAGATTTGACCGGGTCAGTCCATCGTTCCATTTCTCACCTGCTGCTTCTGTGAGTGTTGATTGCAGATGCAAGTGGAACGAAATCCTTCATAACTTTGATCTTTTCTCCATCTCTCATGATTTTGTTTATTGGTCCAGTTGTGAGGATTTTTTTTTAACACTGAGATGTAGTCCAGACTAAAGTCTCTGACCTCCATCCTCAGTAAGTACTTGTGTCATCTGCTAGAGAAGATTATTAATGAGCCTTCCTCTGATCCTGACACTGCGCTCTTCTTCACATAGGCCAGGGCTATTTGCTCCACCTACAATTAAGTAAGGATGGTGAAAGGCTACAACCTGATGCATCTGATTCTAAATCCTGCAGCAGCATTCCCGTGTTCGATTCAAACCACTCCCTCTTGCTCCAGGTACAGGTTCCACATGAGCACAGAGTAGTGTTCAGGAATTTCCATTCTTTGCAATTCCACCCATAGTTTATGATCCACATAGTTGAATACCTTTCATAGTCAAAAAACAATCAAACTTCTTGCTGGTGTTCTCAGCTATCAGCCTAGATCCTTGAGATCACTAAAATCACCGCTTTGGAACCCGTTTGGGGCAGTTCTGCTTTCTCCTACGGGGTTGCTGAGCCAAAATGGCAGTATTTGTTGTGGTGTTCCTACCCTGTGCGATGGCTGGAACTGCACCTTCCCCGGATCAGAAAGATGCAGCATCGGGATTGGAGGAACCTGCAATATGCAGGTGACACATCCTTGCTTGCTGTAAGAGAGGGGGGCTGGACACACTTGCTGATGAAGATCAAGGATGGCAGCCTTCGGCATGAATCACAACTCAATGTAAAGAAGACCAAAATCCTCACGAGTGGACCAATAGGTAACAGCATGATAAATGGAGAAAAGATTGTTCAGAATCTCATCTTGCTTGGAGCCATCATCAGTGCTCACGGAAGCAGCCGTCAAGAGATCAAAAGACCACGACTCAGTTCTACCTTCCAAATCCAGCTAGACAGGAGTACACACATTGGTACAGATAAGAGCGCTCGACACACGGAATTCAGGACAGCTAAAACCCTCAGGAACAGTAGTGGGAGTAGCGATATCATGAGGGGAGGGGGATGGTGGGGGGAGAAAGGGAGAACCTATCACAAGGTTGGATATATAGACCACCCCCCAGGTGGACAAAGAACTGAAATGTGGGTGAAGGGAGACAACAGACAGTGTAAGACATGCAATAACAATAATGATATATAATAAATCAAGGATTCACGAGGGGAGGGGAAGGAGGGGAAAAGAGAGGCGCTGATACCAAGAGCTCAAATAGAAAGAAAATGTTTTGGAAATCTTGA